ACCAGTTGCGGCCTTTTCTGGACCGGGACGCCTTGCGCACAGTCACCCATGCCCTTGTCACCTCCCGCCTGGACTACTGCAATGCTCTCTACATGGGGCTCCCCTTGAGGAGCACTCGGAGGCTCCAGTTAGTCCAGAATGCAGCCGCGCGGGCGGTGTTGGGAGGGACTCGTCGCTCCCATGTAACACCGTTACTGCGTGAGCTGCACTGGCTGCCGGTGGCTTTCCGGGTGCGCTTCAAGGTGTTGATTATCACCTTCAAAGCGCTCCATGGCATCGGACCTGGATATCTCCGAGACCGCCTTCTGCCTCAGATTACCTCCCATCGGCCGGTACGCTCCCACAGAGTGGGTCTCCTCAGGGTGCCGTCGGCCAGACAGTGCCGGCTGGCGACCCCCAGGGGGAGGGACTTCTCGGTGGGAGCTCCCACCCTCTGGAACGAACTACCCCCAGAGATCCGGGTGATCCCGGATCTCCCTTCCTTCCGCCGCGCCCTTAAGACATGGCTATTTCAACTAGCAGGACTGGCCTAAGGGGTAATTTTTAGCGGGGTTTTAAACATAATTTTAAAATAACAAAGGCCAATCTAATATTTCCTTTTAATTATGTTTTAATGATAGTATTTTGGTATTTTTTGTATTTGTTTTTATCAGGCTGTTAGCCGCCCTGAGTCCGCAAGGAGAAGGGCGGGGTAAAAAATCCAATAAATAAATAAATAAATAAATAAATAAATAAATAAATAAATAAATAAATAAATAAATAAATAAATAAATAAATAAATAAAAATAATAAACTACTTTCTGATATATCATTTTTATATACTTAAAATGGTCATTAGGGCAGAGAACCGGTTGTTAAATTATTTGAATCCCACCACTGCCTTTATGGGAAAGCCGGCAGGGAAGATTGCACATGGTGACCAGATGAGTATGAATGGGTTGCCAAAGCACCCAGATCACAATCACATGACTGTTGGGGTACTGTAATGGCCTTATAAAAGCCTTTTCATTCAGTGCTGTTGGTAATTTCAAACATTTGCTGAACAAATGGTCATTAAGCAAGGACTATCTGTATAGTCCTTGACTTATGATATTAACTAGAATTTATCTTGCTAAGCAATGCAGTTGTAAAGCGTGAATGCATTGCTTAGCAATCTCTGTGGTCCTGGTTGCCATCATTAATCAAATTTCATAGTCATTAGATAAGGCAGCTTCCTGCCAGCTTCCCACAACCCAAACAGAGTGTGAAGATGTGTGTGAGCGACATGGCTGGGTCCCACCATTTGTTCAGCAATGTCATAACATGGAATGGTTGCTGACTGAATGGTTGTACATCAAGGGTTACCTGTATATGCACACGAGGCTATAGCTTTAAGTTATAGATTTAGTAGAAAACATGATAAATCAAAAAACTAAAACCAAGATAATTTTGCTTAAGTTTGGTAGGCCAGTAATGCTACAAGAAAAATTACTTTATGAACCCTTTTCTATCTAAAGTCTCACTAAAATGAAGATATAGCCAAGCAAAAATGAATTGGTTGTTTTTTTTTGCATATTTATACATTTTTTGCATTCCCTTTCTGCTACAACAGGGATAGACAAGCTTTGGAGGTCTAGAGACACAGTTAATATATTGGGAAATATTAAAAGTTGAGGTCATCGGTCACCTTGTATTAAGACAATTAAGTTCTGGAAGCAGCAAACTTCATGAATAAAGAAAACATTTAGAATAAAATAAAGGGGATGCAAAAATTAAAGTACAAATTACAAAAAAAAGCAACAAATGGCAAATATATTGTCATTTAGTTTCCCCCCTCCCCAATAAATGAGGTAGAGATCTGAAGAAACAGGAAAAAAAAACTTACTTCTTGCACAACAGCCAAGCTAGTTTCATGCAGCTTTGCAGTTAGAGCATCAGAGTGATAGGCAGAAAGGCACCTAATTGAATTGAGGCCCTCAATTTTCTTCTCCCTATGTTGAATCAAAAGATGAAATATGTATATTGCACAGAATAGGCAAATAGCTCAGATTCATTAAAAAAAATCTCAATTTACACATTTTTATCACACTTCTAAATATAAGTAAAATCACTAGTTAAAATCACCAGTAAAAAAAGTAATATTTTACATTAAGAGTAAAATACTGTGGCAACTGCTTTTTATTTAATTGTGTTCCACAGGACTTTTTCTCTTTCATCCCAAAGATGAAGATAATAAAAAAGATAAGAGACTGAGAAACATACCAGTCATTATCAGCAACATACTGCAAGGCTTCCAAAAGAGCAACTTCAGGCTTGGGGAAGGGTCTCAAATCTGAGGGTTCCATTATTTCGGAACTGTGCGTAACAGACAACGTCTGATCCTTAAACGGCATTTGTGGATCTGGAGAGTCTTCACCTGCAACTTCATCCATTTGATTATGCAAAAGTGACCTAACTCTGTGATGTGAATAAGCCATTTATTTATTTATTTATTTATTGTGTTTATATGGCCGCCCAATTCAGACGTGACTCTGGGTGGCATAGAATAGCTCATAAAAAAAAAAAAAAAAAACCAAAGTAAACAGGACATACTGTTAAAAATGGACTACAGCAATAAGACTGCAATCAGAAGTAAAGTGTACTTGAGGACTGTTGGGGACTCTGCTTTTCCCAACCCAAACACCCAGGGGAAAAAGTCAGTTTTTCACTGCCTTGCCAGAAGCCTGCAGGATTGGGGCAAACTGTATATTGGGTGATTAAGGAAACAAGCTTCTTATATTGGCTGAAAATATATACCAGCAGAACAATAAGAGTGGCAAAATCTAGAAGGGACAGATTGGGCTTTACTACTACTTGTCTTGCTTAGAAATCTAGAGAGGATCTGTTTAAGGTCCCACTTCTACGAGAAATAAATGAGATGCAGACCAGAAAGCAGGCTGGTCTTTGAAAAACATACTTTTCAGTAGAGCTTGAGCTCCTAACATGATGAAGGCACAAACCTTTAGGTATATTGTTAGTTCCATCCAGTGTTTAATGACAATTAGAAAAGGTTGTTTTTGTTAATGCTGTATTTTAGAGGGAGGAGAGAGAAATATTCAGTAAATAAATAAATAAATAAGATAATTACCTGAGTCTATCAAGATCAAAGGTTGTGCTTTTTTAATACTTGATGTTCTTTTCAACAAGGGACTGAAAGCAATATTTCCTTAAGGACAAAGAAACAAACAAATAGCCTTTTAGAATATTTCCATAAAGCTCTCTGTAAATGTTCGCTTTAATCAAGTACAGAAAGCAACATTTTCTACTAGATATTAGAAAATTTTCAATCTAGATCCAATATTATATATCAAATGTTTCCTCTCTTCTTCCGCTAGTACCTGTTTTCCCACACTAGGCAAATACAATTCTTATTGTTATTAATAAATATACAATTGAATATCAACATCTTTGTTACATTTTTCTCATAATATCAATGTGAGTTTTAGATAACTTTTTTAACCAAAACATATCTTAATTGCACATCCATAGATTCAAGAAGTTGATATATACCACTGAATTACTAATGGACCTAGACAACACGTTGTCTATTAAGTATTTGACTGTAAAACTAGAAAAATAATAAAATATTTATATATATATATATAAAAGAAAATTTTCATAAATGATCTTGTAAAGTTACAGATGATACTGATTAATGCAAACAACAACAATCTGGAAAAAGGAACAATCGGATTTTTATCTAACAGCCATGCTAAATGTCAAATTGTTTAACTGTATTCCTTATGGTATGTTTATTTGCCTGCACCAGTACTTAATAAAATCACCCTCAGAACTAGGAAGCAGCATTAAAAAGAAAAAGAAATCAGGAATACACCTTGTGTGTATGCTAATTAAGATGGCAGTACTTTTGGAAACTATATTAAACAATCATTAAGGAAATAATGGATTACTGCTTTCAGTTGTCATCTTTTCTGATTCACTGATCTTGAGCAATTCCCAAGGGTTGGATTCTTTTTTCCCCAGATCTCTAATTTGCTGGTGTTCCTTTTCTTCTCTCTTCTTCTGTCTCATCTTTTCTCGGGCAGATTTGGATAAGGCAACTTTCATCTGCATCAGAGAGTAAAATAAATACAGTATGGGATGAACAAAGAATGTAACACTCCAATGAAAAAGAACACAACCAACATTTCTTTTTCTTTTCAGACACAAGATGCAAACACACTCCAATATTTCACCTGGATGCTCTTAACTGCAATACATAATCAAAACTGATTATGTGCTATCAAGGCAGTGTCGACTCTTAGCAATCACATAGATTTCAAGTATTTCAATTATAATAAATGCAAAGGAATTGCCCTTTGGTGGTATATACACATTTAGCATTAAATGAAAATGAGAGAAAACCAAGCCAAGAATTTTTATGAAATGAAATGGAGTTAAGAATGAAATGATGACTTAATATGTGAGACTAAATAAGATATCCATCAACTGTCCTATGAGAAGGATTTTAAAAAAATGTTTTTAAATAATTATTATTGTTTGTCTAAAGATTGAAGGCAAAAG